GTCATCCAACGCAAGCCCCGCCATCTACCAGATTACAACAGGCTTCACAACTGAATGCGGAACTATCACAGAGAGGAAACAGAGCAATGAAAAGAAAAGAAGAAACAGTAGTGAACCACAGAGGAGAAATGTTTAAACAAAACAAACCAACGTTAGCAGAGCAGATGCTAAACATCCAACCCCCAAGAGCTTTTCCAGAAGTCATATCAATAGCTACTAGTGATGATGATATCAGCGACCCAACAGCTACATCAAGCAACCAACCAATGAAACGAGACAATCCAGAAACAGAGATAGAACCAAAAGGAAAACGAGGACGACCCGCGCACAGCGGCGCGAGTGCTTCGCGACCAAAAATGGTACAAGAAGGAACTAAGAGAGCAACACCAGCAATAATAACAGTGGAGACAAAAGGAAAAGATGGACGGCCAAGATTAAAAAGCGGGAAAGGGTGAAAAAAGAGACGGAGATGTTGAACCAGAAGAAGAAATACCAAACAGAGCAAAGAGAACAAACAAGACCAAAGAAAAGCAACAAATGAGATTAGAAGCAAGTCTTAAAAAGGCAGAAGCGGAAGCAGAAGCAGAAAACGAGAGCAAACCAGAACCTACAAAGAAAGGTAGAGGCGTCAAGAAAGACAAGATGAAGAGAGAACCATTAGAACCAAAGTCAATACCGATACAGGAATTGAGAAATGAGTTTGTTGATGCCCTTAACAAGAAGATGATTACAAATGATGAATACAACGAATTTCAAGATATATTCAATGAATGGAAGAAGGCTAGGGGCAATGCCAAAACAAAACACAGAAACAAAGCGAGACTGCATTATGGAAAAGTTCTTTACAATAAACTCAAAAAGAAATATGAAGACGATGACTTGTAAAACATTAAATTTTAATATTTTAGAAAATCTCTGATTTTGTAATGAAGTCTGTTTCTTAAATGCCTTAAAATTATCTTGTAAAAAAAAAGTATTTAAAGAAATATTATATATATAATATTAATATGACAATGATACAACCAGGAGACATGACACTGGAAGAAATCAAAGAACAATTAGCACTATACAATAGGCTGTATTATCAAAAGAGAAGACACGAAAAAGATTTTATGGAAACCAAAAGGTTAAGTGCTATTAGACATAACCGTAGAAAGAAGCTAAATGAAATGGTGGATGATGGAAAAATAGAACTTAAAGACATCAACTATGACAATAAAGATGAAAATGAAAGTGATAAAAGCACAGTCAAAGCAACCAAGCCAAGAAAGTATAAAGGCACAACATATAATATAATTTCCACTGCATAATTATTTGAAAATATTTAATAAAAAATATTTTATTGAATATTCATCCTTACCCCAGACCCTTACCCCAGACCCTTACCCCAATCCATCAGGGTTTGATTTCCTATTTGTAGCAGGGCCTTACCCCAGACCCTTACCCCAGAGCCTCGGGGAAAGCCCCCCAAATCCTTACCCCAGACCCTTACCCCAGAGCCTCGGGGAAACAGATTTTTTGAAGACGGGGGCCAAAAACCCTTACCCCAGAGCCTTACCCCAGACCCTTACCCCAGAGCCTCAGGGAAAGCCCTCAGGGAAAGCCCCCAAGACCCTTACCCCAACACAACAGGGATTGAACCCCAAACTGTCAGGGATTGAACCCCAGCCAGCCAGGATTTGAACCCCAGCCGGTCAGGATTTGAAGCTTAAAACTGTTAAAATATTTCTTGTAAAAAATGATTTAAAGAAATGTTTTTATAATACCATTATATAGTCATGTGTAATCTTGCATATGTCGAAATCATCAATAACTTAAAATTAAAAAATGAATGATTTTTTAAATCGCTGTGGAAATTGTAGCACTAGAAAATATGAAATTAAACAACTATTAAACTATCTACCTATGGAAACAGTAGAATGTATTAACAAGTTTCATTGTTGTAGAATATGTGAAGAAATTAAATGTATATTGGATAGTGAAAAGAATGTATTAACTCAATATTTAAATGAAGTAGAACAAAGAACATTATTATTATCTTATTATTTGAATAAATTAAGTAAGTTAATACATCCAGACCAAATTTTTATGTGGGGGCAATTAACAAAATATAATATTCATGGTGGGTTTTTTGATTGTTTAATTATTCATTATAGAGATTATGAACCATGTGAAAGGTTTTACAGACTTAAAATGAAATTAATTGATGATAAAAGTAAGGAAAAGGTAGAGATTAAAGAATTACTTATGAAATATTATAACCAAACAGAAGGACAATTTAATAAAAGAACCAAATATATTTTTAGTAAATCATCAAAAGAATATTTTAATAAACCAATGTTTAGTTATTTGAAAATAGAAGAAATTAATAAAAAAATATTACTGTAATAAAAAAGCATTAGATGAAACAGATTTTAATTTCATAGCAGTAGTTGAAGCACACAATGGCAATGGATATTTTAGCAATATATTAGATGCTTAAATATGGAATATTTTTAATATCACCTTTATTAATATGACAGATGTTAATAAAGATGATATAATAAAAAAAAAATATCTATTTTGATAGGTCAGGCTTCGGTTCAATTCAAACAACTTATCAAGACGCAAAAAAGAAAGAACCATCAATAACTTTAAATGATGTTAAAGAGTTCTTTAAGAAGAATGTAGAAGTAAAGAGAAAGCAACGAGGGTTTAATTCTTTTGTTGCCCCTCATAACAATCATACATATCAAATTGACTTATTTTTTATGGGTAAAACTGATTTTGAAAATAAGCAAAAATTTAGAGTTGGATTAGTGTTGATAGATGTTTTAAGTAAATATGCTGTGGTAGTTCCAATAAAAAGTAAAGATGGTCCAGATGTCATAGCTGGAACAATGGAAGCATTAAAAATAATGAAAGAGAATCCTCAACTGATTTACACTGATGATGAAAGAGCTATTGCGGGTGATGATTTTAAAGAATATGTAGAAGGTGAAGGTATAGAACTACATAGAACCAGAAACCACCCTGCCTTCGCTGAAAGGTTTATTAGAACCTTTAAGGATATGCTTTTTAAGAGAGTTGAAGCTGATGAAAAGAAAGGCAAGGAGAATATACAATGGATTGATTATATTTTTGAAATTATGCTTACTTATAATGATAAAATGGTTCATTCCGCTACTAATATGACACCAAGTAAGGCAAGAAAGAATGAAAATGAATTTAGGGCAAGATTGAATGTATCAATGAAAGCAAGAAAGGATAGGATTTATCCAGAGTTGAGAGTTGGTGATAAAGTCAAGATTATGAGGAAGAAGGCAATTACGGAAAAAGAGAGAACATCCAACTTTTTAAAGGGTGAATATACAGTGGAAGAAATTTCAAAATCACTAGGGCAAACATATTTTAAAATGACTGATTATCCTAGAAAATTGATGAGACACGAACTATTGAAAGTTTGACTTTTTGGATTGAAAAATATTTCTTGTAAAAAAACATTTAAAGAAATATTACTATAATATTAATATATAGACTGTTATATGAGTAAGTTTATACAGAGAAATATTAATGAGCTGAAAAGGCTTAAACAAAGCAACACCAAGAATTCCAACAAAGCAACTGTAAAAAGAGTTGATGAAATAATCAAACTATATAGTGGAAGGAAAATATCAAACGTAGCAACTGCTGAAAATCTCATTAAAGGTCTTACCTCTGATGATAAAAGAACTTATGACAAAGCATTTCAAAAATACAAGGACAACATAAAAAAGTTCAAAGAAACCAAACCAATAAAAGAAAGAATAGCAGAGACAAGGGAAAGGAATAAAGCCAAAACATATTTTATAAATTTTCAAATCTACACTTGGAGAAGCCCAAGGAATGAGAAAATGAAAAGTGCTTTTTCAAAGAATGGTGTTAAATATTATATAGACAGTTTTGATGTCAAACAAGCCACAATCAAAATCAAAGAAGAATTTCCAAAGGATATTATTAAACAAGTTGTTTATAGATATGAAGATGCAGTGAGAAATGAAACTGGTAATATCACTCATGGAGAGGAAAATGAGATGTTCCGAAAATTAATCAAGTTTTTAAGAACAGATGAAGAGTTTAATGAGACATTTGAAGAGCTGATGAGATATTACGACAATCTGTTTCAAGCAATCAAGATTACCAGTGTTGAATTTGTAAATAGCAAGGGTGAAAAGTTCAATATTCTGAATGAAAACTTGACTGATGCTACTAACATATCAATATATCATAGATACATTACCACACCTATTTATATGGAAGCATCCACCATGCATAAAGCAATCCAAAATGGCAATCATATAGAAAATGAATGTTGGATTAATGCGCTGACTGATTTTTACAAAGACACTTTAATGAGTGAGAAAAACAGAAATAGATTGACAAGGGAAAAGGTAATTGAAATCATAGGCAGGGACAACTTCCATGATAAGGGGGCATCTATTGCGGAAATGGAGCAAGTCTTTAAGCAATATAGAATTCAGGTAAGGGTTTTTGATTTTATGAATAGACTTATTTATAAACATGACCCAGAAAAGAGAAACCATCATATCAAAACCCTTTATGCCATGGTGAAGAACAATCATATACTGTATATGTTTTAAATCATGATTTGAAAAGCATTCAGCAAGGACAAGCAAACAAATATAGCCCAGTTGTGAAAGCATCAACTGACTACTATTTAAATGTTTGGGGGTTAAAAGGGGTCACCTGCAGCACCCCATAGGCTGCAGCACGGATTTTTCTTGAGCCATCAGAAGTAGCGGAGCGTTTAGCCATGTACATGTCATCCTGAGTGCAGGGGCCATGCTTGTAAAAACGAAACTCACCCTTCTACACCTTGGACCTTGGCATACCAGCAACTGTACATCCTAGAGGTTAGAGTGTTCCATGAATCACACTCCCCCTACCTCATTTTGAGGTACAGCTACCTAAAACAAACAACCTTTTGGCGCAGCAGCACTAGGAAAAAGCTGCAAAAGCGCTCACCAGGTCTCCCCAGAGACCTCGCTCCAGCTGCCGCCATCGCTCAGTTCCTCTTCGGCAGGAGGTAGGCCATCTCTACGCTGAAGATCAGCCAAAACCGGTTGAGCTCGTCGACCAGCTGAAGTCTGTGCTTTTGGCCTCACCGCAGGTGCTCTTTGTGTTGGGAGCGGAGCGTAGGACTTCGCCGTAGCCGCCCGGCTCACATCAACACGGTTCTCTTCCCCACCAGGTAGGTCAGGAAGAAGCCCAAGATGCCCCTCGGCTCCATCAGGCAACCTCAAAACTGCAGGCTGAAGCTCACCACGATCATGCGGTTCTCCAGCTCCGTCACGTTCAGGTAGGTGAAAACGATGCCCTTCTCCACGAGCATCATCACTAGAGCTCCGAGACACAGTGCGATCATGCACGGTCCCAGTTTCATTCTTGAGGCGGAAGAATGTCCACCCAGTCCACCTTGAAGTAGCGGGGTTCGCTGGCTCCACATCCCAGCGGTCCGTCTTGACAAAGCGGCGGTTGGTATCCTCCTCGAAGCCCACAGTCACACGTAGAGGAAGAAGATCTCCACCTGCAACCGGAGAGGCACGGTGGATGGGCTGGAAAGTGCGTTTCCTTGGATCCCTGTGGACTCTAACAAGCCATCCACGTTGGATCCAGGAACTTTCCCATCTGTCCTTCTTCCCAGTCGGCGGAGGCGTCGAGAACTCAGGTAGTTCCCACGGTGCCGTGGCCGCATCCACAGTGACTCACATAGCCTTCATGCTGTAGGACCCACTATCAGGCGGAGGACGCTTGGTTCCCGAGCCATCATCCAGGTCCTTTCTCGCATGGATGTCATAGTCCTCATTTTCTTCCTCATCAGGTGGATGGTCTTCAGCTGGAGGCTCGCCTTCCGGTTCTCCAGCTCCATGCAAACCCTGAGAAGTCCAGTTTCCCCAGGCATCATCATCGTCATCCTCAGCGGCGCCTGGAGTCGTCCCCTGGCCTTTTCCTTTTCCCAAAGACTGCCGGCGATCTCCACTAGGAACTGGTCGGTCGGTTGAAGATCCAAGGCCATCGCCACTGGCAGTTGAAGAGCCCACGCTGCCTCGCCTCGGTGGTAGCAGAGGTTCGGGAACGGGTTTTCCTTTTCCTTTGGGACCAGTTGGGTCGCTGTTCGCTTCTTCATTCTCTTCACCAGAGCTGATGACCTCTGGCCCGTTCTTTCCTTTCCCTTTTCCTTCTGGCTCATCAAGGGGACGGATCTCGATCAAACCGTCACCTCTGCGAATTTCCAGGTCACCATCCGCATTCACAAAGGATACCACGATCTTTTCGCCTCCCCAAAAGAAGCCTGACTCAATGTCGCGGCGACCATGACCACGGACAGTGTAAGTGGTTCCATCTGGGTTCTCAGGCCCCTGAGAAGAGGCTGGCTGACTGCCCGTCGCAGTCGGAACCTCTTCGCCAGTAGGTTCGTTGTCTTGAGGAGGTAGAGGAGCTGGTAGCGGAGCAGCACTCGTCGCTGTCTTCGGAGTAGCCTGCATCAACGTCACAGGCCCTGGCTCCCCTGCGACTGTTTCCTCGGACTCCTCAAGCTTTCTGTTTTCCCAGCTCGGCCACTCATCTTCCTTCTCTTCTTCATCACAGGCCTCTGCACTTGGGCCCTTCTCTTCACCTTGATCAGCCTTCGCGGCCTTGTTTTTCTTCTTTCTCTTCCTTTTCTTTTTCTCCCCGGTGTAGATGTCATCGTCCATGGAGCTCTTCGGCCACGGCTTACGATCATCTCCACCATCACCAGGACCATCTCCACCCTCGCCACCAGCATCAGCAACGCTGGTCGCCATGGCTTCAGCACGGAGCGCCCGGACACTGGGGCAGCCCGAAGGGCAGTAGTTCCTGAACCCGGCAACAGTCACACCGGAGTTGAAAACCTGTGCACCTTCGCCACTGAAGTCGTTTTCACAAGTGCCGTCAACCACGTTATCCCCAAAAATCGATTTCCCAAAATCAAATTCCCCAAAAGAGGTGGGACTTTGTGGTTTCAGGGTTTTCTTTATGCTGGGTTCATTTTCCCTCAGCAATTGGTGGTTTGGACCGGGTTCATTTTCCCTCGGCCATCCTGTTTCAGTAAGTTGGGTTCCTATGCCGGGTTCATTTTCCCTCGGCGTTCTTGACTTTCTTTTGAGACAACAAAGGTGAGACTTCCATCTTTGTACAACATGGCACACACCAGCTGCTACTGCACAGATCCCTAACCTCCTAATCCGGTGGTGCTCCTCAGTGGTCGGTTTCCACCTTTCAAGCTCTACAGCTACAGTCAGCCCCTTCAGAGCCCATTCTCTACAGATTCCAATCTTCTTCAAGGTCTCCAGGTCCTCCGGCTCAGCCATGTCGTAGAGCCCTGCAAACCTCCGGAATCTTGGCCAAGTAGCCCCAACGGTGATTGGCTTCGTCAGGAAATCTGCCGCAAGTTCCACACCCGCCATGTGTTTCACCTTCCACACCTCCTGTTGTACCGCTTCGTGCAACGCCCTAGAGCGCAGCCTGAGATGTCTCGATCTCCACGGTCCATTTGGGTTAAGTACGACCTGGATTCCCGATTGAGAATCACCGTACAACACTCTGGTTCCCTTTTCTGTTAACCTTCCTTCCTCAAAAAGGTCAACCAAGACCGCCACCGAGTCTCCAAGGCTCATAGCGTCCACGTACGAAGTGACTTCAGACTCAGAGCTGCTCAGCGTAGCAAAACTCTGTCGCTTACTTTCCCACTGGATCAAACCACCTGCCCAGACAGCAAGGAGACCCTGGTGGGACCTCTCCCCTCCTGGACCGAAAGACGCATCCGAGTGGACTTCCAACGTATTGGCATCCCTGCAGAATGCCAAATTCCCATTCGGCCCACGGTCGGCCTCTTGACACTTTTGGTATAGCAGACCATGACCCACTGTGGCCTTTAAGTAGCCAAGCGTCTGCCTACCAAGTTGGCAAACCCTCTTCGGACATTTGGATGCTCGGGAACCCATCCAACTCACTGCATAGGCCACGTCCGGCCGCGTCTTTGTGCTTACCCACAAAAGTTCGCCGACCAGAGTCTGCGCCCTTTTGACATCTGCAGGCTCCGGTGGTGATTCCTCAACATCCTCAGTCCTTGCAATTGGTACCAGCGCTTCTGGTACATCTGGGTACCGATCCAACACATCCTTGGTGTAGGATTCTTGGGAAAGGAGGATGCCGCCCCTCGGGTGCAGCTTCAACTCCATCCCACAGAATCTCAACATTCCCTTTTCTGAGAGATACTCCGCTTCGGAGCAGTTCCACTCCTGGTTTATTCGGTTCAGACATCCCTTGATTACTTCAGTTGGTCCACAGACCAGGACATCATCGACATAGAAGGTACAAAAACCTTCTACCCGTTCATCCGAGTCCGCTCTTCCTGGCTCCTCGCTCGACACGAGTTGCCAGACATTTGGTTCGACCGTTTGACGCATCCAGAAAGACCTACCGTTTGAGCTCCACTCAAATTTCTTGACCCTTTGGTCGCGGAAGCTACTCCAGTCGGCCGGACTGGTCTTCAGGCCATACATCGCCTTTTGGATCACCCACCTCTCTTCCGGCGGACAGATCCCAGCCTGCACCAGCAGCTTCGGTGGGATGGTCATCATCAGGCACTCCTGCTCCCTTCGGCGTGGGGCAAGCAAGAACGCGCCCTTGATATCTAGGACTCCCATGTCCCACCCATCCATCATGGCGGTCTTTCTGACCATGCATCGAATGGCGGTGGCATCAGCTCCTCCAGCGTACAAGTCCGCTGCCGTCACTGGAGTCGCCTGAGTCTTGTTGCCATCCTCGTGAGCCTTCGTCACCAGGTTTCCACAGATCACAATCCGTGCCTTGCGTTTCCCATTTGGCGATTTAACTGTGGCAACCAACTTGCTTGGTGCTAGCTCCATGTCTTGATAGCCTTCCATGGCCTCCAACTCACTAAGCTTAACCGGTTTCACCGCCTGGCTTTCATACACAAGCGGGTTGTACTCGGCCTTAATTGGTTCAATCCAGGATTCCATATCCCGCTTTACCATCGTCAAGGGGATAGTGTAGGTTTGCAAGACCGTCGGGGGCCTGCTCACACCTTGGTTCTCATCCCCTGGTTGGCCATCCGTCGACAAAGCTGCGATTCGGGCATGTCTCTCACACTCTTCAGCTTCCAATGCCTCCACCTTGGCACCTTCTTCTTCGATCCGGGAATAATGCTCCAATTCACTTTCCAGCCATCTCACTTGGGTACTCACGTGTTGCACGACTTGTCCTTGCGCCGCACCTTCTTCTTCTGTCCCAGCGACTGCATTCACCTGTTCCTGCAGAAGTTTTCTCAGATTCCAGTGCTGGTAGCGGAGCTCATTCACATACTCCTCTACTTCCGTCTTTTCGATCTCCCCCCAACCTTCAAGTTGAGTTCCATCCACAAGAGACTCCCCCCCAGCTCGTAAGGCCATGAGAGCTGGCAATCCCAATTCTGCCTCAGGTGGAACCAACTCAGAGTCAGACAAGATAGAGGGCTCATACCCATCTTCTTCCTCAGCGTCGGCCACAGCCAACAATGACTCAAGTTCACGGTCCTCCCTAGGAGGTGGTAAAGGGATCTTGGAAACCTCCACAACCAGTGGCTGCTTCCCATTGAGACGTCTTTTGGGAGGATCCTTGGGATCATCGACCGTTTCCAGCTCCAAACGAGCTGTTTCTCCAAGAGGATCAGGAATGAACACGGACCGTGCGTGCTGCACAAGGTTGGCTTCTTCATCAAGAGCAACCCAACCGTTAGTCATCTGAGGTGAAGGGCCCATAATTCGAAGCGTCTTATAAGGGGATGACAACGCCCCTTCTTTTCGACGATGCCACAGTTTGGCCTTAACCTGAGCCAACACAGCAAAGGGTGGCATCTCCTTACACTTGGCCCCCAACTTTCTCATTTGGGCACGCAATCGTTCCTCGACTCCGTGTCGGGCCGCGCATGGCCAGTAGTCATGACTCACTCCCGTTTCTGCCAACAAAAGGCGAAGTCGACGCTTGAATTGGTTGATTTCCCCTTCAATTCGTCCATTGGCTTCAGGCTCATCGCCTGCATTGAAAGTTTGATGGACCTGGCGCATTTCGCACCACTTGGCCACGTGATTGGTTGTGAAAGATCGCTCCCGATCAGAGTGCACACGGTAAATGGGTATGCCAAGGCTCTTCGCCCGGGCATGCACTTTGGACAGTGCCTTTGTAATTTCATTCTGGTGACGAGACGCAAGTGGCTCCATGAAGGTGATGTTCACCACTGGAACATCCTTGGATATCTCCTTGACTTCCTTTTTGACGAACTCTTCCCAAGCCTGGTTTCTCTTCCGGGCTTCTTCCTCTGGGATCAGATCCCTGGGCTCTGGAGCCAAAAGAAGCTCCCCGGAGGCTTCCACTTCCTCAGCTTCGGGAACAACTTCTTCCTTTTGAGGTTCCACCGCCTCCGTGGAATCCTCCTTCTCCCCCGGACTTGGCCACTGAGGCACAGGGATAGTCGCCAGCAAGGCATACTTTACCTTTCTGCGTTTGGAGACACCAAGGTCGGTGCCCTTTTTGAACGGACCACAGATGTCTACAGACATCACAAAGGCGGATTCTTGACCCCTCTTTCGGCGATGTGGCTCAGCCGAGCCCATGGTTTCCAAGCAGACCTTACAGTCCCGCCGGTATGGCACGTGTTGTGCCTGCAGATGCTTCTTCCATCCCGCTAAGTCCAACTTGCTCAGCATCGGTTGCTGAGCCTGGCTCGCCAGAAATTTGGGTATCACAATCTTGAGAGCAGCCATCAGACCTGGAGCCCATGCAGACCAAGAAGCCGTCTGCTTCAGCCGCTCCCGGAGATCCATGCACACACTCTCTCCAGATTCCTTCGAGGTAATCCCATCAAGTTCCTTCAGCTGGACTATGTTGGTCAGAAGCGTTGTGGGTTTGGGGCGTGGGTGCCCTAGAGCCCCTTGATCCACCCTGACCTTGAACATGTCTGGGTTTCGTTTCAAGAAATCTTCTGTTTCCTCCCATTCCCAGAAGGACGGATACTCTTTCCCATCTTCCACATACTCGCATGGATCTTGGGGACTTTCCACCAGAAGACCACACTGACCCAGAATGCCATTCGCCACCATTCCCTCTTGAGATTTCTCATAGAGACCAAGAGTTTTCAACCACAGGGCGGTATCTCCATCCACCTTTGTCATTTCTCTTTCCGTTAGCTCATCCAAAGCGAATCTGTGATTCTTTCTGCCACGCAAAGGGCGAGGACCTGGGATCTTATGCCTAAGACGACTCACTGTCCTGCATGGCGGTCCGGCGGTTATCATCCGGATCCGGCCCCTTTCAGCCAATCCCCACAGATACGCCCACACCCCAGCGGCGTGTAGATCTTCTTGAGCGTTCGATGAGATGTCAACGGTCAGCACCTCGGTGTCTGATCCCGTGAGATCCCGCCATCTCCTGGATTCTCCCCCGGACCCAGAGAAAAGATGGATCACCACACCACCTCGAGCTCTTTCCAACCTCCTCCGCTTTGCCCTATTCCAAGGCAAAGGGGAGGCAATTTCTTCCCAGTTCAGCCCTTGGCCCCTCATCAAAGACCAGATTCTCTCAGGGACCTGTGGATACTTCTCCTTCCACCATTCGATCTCCTGAGCCGGTGGCTCACAGTAGTCTCCCACTCCACCATTCTCAAGTGACTCCAAGAGACTCAAGGCTTCACTTCTGTCCATCACTGGACACCCTTGACGTCTGACACACTGCAGGTTCCCATGTTTCGGGTGTGAGATGTCACAGCGATCCTTCTGCCAGTCGATCTTGAATCCGTGATCTACTAGCAGCCGCAATGGAATTATGGGTTCCACGTTATCCAGTGCCAACAGCGTATTGTGCGCTGCGCACCGATAGAGCGTGACACTTCCCATCGCCATTTCAACTTGGACTGGCCAAAGATGCGGAACTTCGGAGCTCTTCGCCTGTCGCAATGCGTGAGTCGCCCCCCCATCTAGCAAGGCGTACTCTCCTCCGCACTCCTTGTCCATTTTTACCGTCTTGATGAAGACCGATTTGATCGACGTCATGGACTTAACCAGACCGTTGAGGTTCTGCACCAAGTCACCTTCCTGCTTGGGCTGGGAACCCTCAGATCTTTTTTCCGGTTGCGGATTTTCCTCCGCTGCCTCCTTCACTACTGTTGACTCTTTTTGGCTCTCCTTTTCAGTGCTCTTCTCCCCTTTCTTATTGAGGACCTTAGCGACCTTCCGGTCACCTTTCTGTGTCCAGCCATTTCCATCTTTAGGCTTGGCTGTGGGACAATCCCTTTTACGGTGGCCTGTTGATGAGCAAAGCAAGCACCTTGAGGATTTCTCCAACGTTCCCCAGGCGTGTGCAAAACCGCACTTCTCACCCCTGCGACACCCTTCGTCAGTGCCCCAGAAACGACACGGCGCTTTCTCACCTTCTGGCCTCTCCCATGGCTTCTGCCCTTCCCCCGTGAAGGCCTTGACAGCCGGATTCCCCTGCGTCAGCACCGGAGCCAACGCTGGCGGATTCGACGGCGTCGCCTTCCCAGCAGTCTGCGCATTAGCCAACTCTTCCAGCTCAGCTTGGATGTACTCGGCCCATTCTTTGACCGAACCAAGGCTTGGAGCTCTATCTACGTCCAGCTGTTGGCGCATGGTCGCCAAGCGGAACGCCACCTGACTTCCACCCAATCTTGAAGCTCCGTCAGCGAACTTCGACAACACACCTGTCAGAACCAGAGGATCCACTGTTACACTCAGCTCCTCCGACCTTCCCACTGATCGGCGCCATTGCCGAACGGACCCCAGCAGTTCCACCAAACCTGCTGGCACCTTGGCCTCGCTGATGGACTTGATCAATCCTGTCCTTTCACCCGAACCACCAGGTTGAAAGGTGGTAAACAATCGGAACAGAATCCCGACCGTCGAGAGACGCCGCGATGCTATGACGTCCTGTCGCAAACCTTCTGGCAAAGCAGCTAGCAACATAGATACTGACCGCTGTTCCAGTCTTGCGTAGCCTTCACCGATCACTGGTGATCCTGGTTTCATGCGCAGCTTCTCCAGCGGCGTGGCAACCAGCCACTGCTGATAGTGGTGTTCCACAGTTTTCACTGTCAGACTCCACCATTCTCCAGCACTTCCAGAAAGAGCACTCATCAGTGGATGCACCACAGTCATCCAATCCCCGAACTGGATGGACGCACCTTCACTTCCCGGTGTGGGAAGCTTTGGTAGCTCCAGGGCCCTCAAAGCCTCAGTCAGAGATGGTCCCGGCTGAGCTAGCCCAGCTTGATTCCTTCCTTGGAATCCCGGATCAATCCCTGGAGGTGGAGACGGCATTCCACCGACTCCTCCCAACGGCTGAGAAGTTCCCAAGGCCTGGCCAACCACGGCCTGTCCCTGTCCAGCTCCACTGGATGCTGACTGGTACGATTGGGTTTCCTCGGTCTGACCTTGAAGCCTTCTCACCTCCTTGGCGAAAGCTTCCTCTGCCTCCCGCATCACCCGCTTTCTGATCTCCTCAACTGCCATCGCAGCTGGGTCCATCATCATCTGAGTCCCTCCCGATGGATCTGTTCCAACAGGAGCTGGGTTCCCCCCTCCAGCCAATGCCTGCATGGGAACCGGGCTCACCATTTGCATGGGAACCGGGCTCACCATGGGTACTGACTGCAGGTCTCGAGGTTCTCGGACTGGAGTCACCATCACTCCTAATCCCTGAGCTGGTTGGCTACCTGAAGGATGAAACGCTGGCGGGTGTGGACTCGCGGCTGATCCCATCTGTTGCTGCTGCGGCAGCTGAAAAGCTACCAACGGCGGCAAAGGCTCAGCCAAAGGTCCCAACATAGCACCGCCCACATGCCCTCCACTCGGACAGCCACCACCTTGGTCATTGATCCCCTGACCACTGCGTTGATGTAGTTCAGCATGAAGACCTTGTAGAGGAAGGACACCAGGAGGACCACCTTGAGGCACACAAGAACGGACTTGAGCTCCAGGAAAAAGTGTCCCCAAAGCTTGCAGTTGGTTACCCACCGCACCAGCCACATCTTGCGCCACACCCCGAAGAAGCGGTCCTACCACCATTGTCGATCTCCCACCACCCGGCAATTCCTGCTGAGCTGCCACCGGAGGAGCTTCAGGCCCTAAAGCTTGTGGCAAACCAGCAGGCCTCGCCACCTCACCTTCTCGACCTTGAGCTCGTCCATCTCCCTCTGCTCCAGCCTGAATTTCCAACCTCCGCACACCACCTTCCATCCTCCTAGGAGCAGACAGAGCTCTTCTTCTCTCTCCCTCCTCTTGAGTCTGGGCGATCATGCGGTCCAAGGCTTCATCGGCTGACTCACCACTCATCCCTCCACGTCGACGCTGCAGCAATGACATGGCCACGCAGCAGAGCTCCTCCTTGGGCTCGTAACCTTTGGGGGTTAAAAGTGGTCACCTGCAGCACCCCATAGGCTGCAGCACGGATTTTTCTTGAGCCATCAGAAGTAGCGGAGCGTTTAGCCATGTACATGTCATCCTGAGTGCAGGGGCCATGCTTGTAAAAACGAAACTCACCCTTCTACACCTTGGACCTTGGCATACCAGCAACTGTACATCCTAGAGGTTAGAGTGTTCCATGAATCACAAAATGAAAAGGATGAACCGCCCGAATTCAGAATGATTAAAGATATAAATGAGATATTAGAAATCAAGGGCGAGGAGAATGAAGAAATAAATATAGTTTTAGAAAATAACAATTTAACTGAGGTATTCTTTCAGCTGGTTAAAAGTGGATATGAACCAAGAATAAGTTTCCAAACAATCGTTACAGAAATCAGACTAAAATTAGGCAAAACAAAATTCATTTTAAAAACTCAAAATTTGATTAAGTCATCATGTGATGGATGTATAGCAGTTGATGATGAAATAACATACAACAGAATGAATAAGGCAATGTTTAATTTCAATAAGTCTTTATTTAATCCATTACACAAATCCTTCTACAATGACATTGATGTAGCAATATTGAATGAAGCAAGGACGATAGTTCCATCAGGTCTTTTTTGTTCCGCTAAGGCCTTTCCAACTGATGTTTTTGAAGCTGATGTATCCAAGGCATTTACATTAGCATTTATGAGTATGAATGAAATTCCAGTATTCAATCAGTTTGACATTTGGCAAGTTTATACTGACAACATTGATATTACAACATTACATGATTTAACTTTATATTATGTTGAGGTTCAGGAGGAACTATTCAACCGAAAGCTTTTATTCAACAAAAAATATTGCTTGATATATGGCTCATTTTTGAAAAAGGTTATGTGTGGTAAAATCAGAATTTTGTATTACAAGCAACCTTCAAGAACATATAAATGTAATTACAAAGAAATCATTGATGAATTATGGAAGCATGAAATCAGTAGCAATTCCGATTTGGACAAGACTATCAAAAAACTCATTGCCAATATAAATTTTAGACTTCTGGAAAAAGGGGGCTCAACCAGTCAAAAAAGCATGATTTTTAAGCACCTAAGGGAAGCAGTGAACTATCAAACAGAATATGGAGGCAAAATACATAAACTGACTGATGTTGAAGTTGAACATATTGAAACTAAAAGGGATGACAGTTTAGAAATTAGGGAATATGATAGTGAAGGTGAAAGTTATTATGTATTAAATTTGAAGGACAAAGCGCAATTACAAAATGGTTTTAGATACATTAAAGAATTACTTTTACAATATCATAACTTTAAAATGTATCAGGACTATTATAAGTTAAGAAGTAATGGTGTTGATGTATGTAGTGTTAAAACTGATGCCTTCGTAATTAAAAGATGTGATGAGGAGAGAACAAAAAAGATATTGGACTTCCATAATGGAATTGGAGGATGGAGAATTAGCAAGTATGAAGATATTAAATTACCAAGTGTAGAATATGAAATTGCAAAAAATGAAAAGGTTGAAATACCAACTTATAAACATACAGTCATTGAAATTAAAAATGAATACGACACTGATAATATCATTGAAGTTATTAAGGGGCATAATCCAATGATGATAAGGGGTGTTTATCCAGGAACTGGAAAATCATTTATCTGTCAGAAAATGGTAGATAAAGGTTATAAGGTAATATTTGTATGTCCTACTATATAATAGATTACTACAAGAATTTGAAGGAGACGCCTTAACATTAAATAAGTTTTTTGGTATAAGTTTTGGTGATGTAAAGTTAGAACCATTTGATTATTCAGGGTATGATGTTATAGTGTTTGATGAGATTTATTTTAGTAGTTTAAGCACTTATTGGAGAATAAAGCAATTCGTAGAAGACAATAAGCACAACAAAATAGTAATTGCTACCGGGGACACCAAGCAATTAAAACCTATTCAACCACTAACTAACATTCAAGAGTATGAAGTATATGCAGACCACATCATTAACAATATTTTTACAAATAGTATATTATTAAAAGAATGTAAGAGATTGAAAACACAAGAGGATAAGGACAAATTAAGCAATGTAAAAACTGATATTTTTGTAAATAAACTTCCTTTCAAGGAAATCGTTGAAAAATATTTCAGATATACTACTAGTATAAGTGGTTCAAAGCATAATATTGCCTATTTAAATGATACTTGTAAGAATGTAGCAAGTGAAATTAGGAAATTGGAAAATAGAAAAGATGAATATGAAGTAGGTGAATTCCTGATATGTAGAGAATATACTAAAACTCAAACGTCAGTATTCAATGTAAATTTTAAATACAAAATAGTTCATATTGGAAAGGATGGAGTGATGACATTGAAAAACACTAAAACTAATATACTACAATCCTTAAAAATTCAAAAGGTAAGGGATAATTTCATATTCGCCCATTGCACTACCTGCCATTCAGCCCAAGGTAGTAGCATAGATGGAGACATAACAATTTTTGATTATAACCATTATGACATTAAAAAATATAGAGAGTGGCTATGGACTGCAATTACAAGAGCAAGGGATTTAAACAAGGTAAAATTTATAAATATAGTGATGATGTAAATGATGATTTCAACTATAAATGCATGAAAAGCAAATATGAAAGAAAAAAAATTGAAAATTACAAGCAACAGGACAGAAAAGCAAAAAGAAAAATACCAAAAGAAGGTTATGTAAATGTTGAATGGTTTTTTAGTAATATAACTAACCAATGTAATTATTGTGGATGTGGATTTCATAAGTATAAAAGGGGGAAATATAACAACAAACCTAACCGCTCAAAGGGTTAATAATGAATATACCCATACATTGGACAATATAATACCATATTGCGACAGGTGTAATTGTAGTTGTAGGTAATGAGTGAACCAAAAGCAAAATTAATATTACTTCCAGAATTATTTTTCCAACAATTGCTATTGAATTTTTTTGTGTCTATTTCTCCTAGACTTCATTTCTCATAATGAGTAAGATACGGCTCGTTTTTAAGCAAATACCCTTGACATTAACATGTTCGTGTGCAACGGGGTGCTAGTATTTTTCAAGGGCATTTAACCGGAAACTTGTTTATACTTGAACCTTGGTAGGAACTTTTGAAACCAGTTTTTTTCAATTACTTTTTCGCAATGTGCAAAAATGATATATATTTTTTGTAAAACCCTTTTAAAGAAACATTAGCATAATACTTAATGAAGATTTCTTGGAAAATCCACCTTTTCAGGGAAAGAATATATTAAAAGAAATCTTCATAAAGTGTTATGTAAAATGTTTTGGTAAATTCTATGAGGGGGGCCTTGCCCGTATTTGGTTGATGATGAATTTTGGTTATGTAGGTTACTTGTTGAAAATCCTTTTGAAGATTACTATGTTGGCTTACATCTTCAAAATGATTTGTGTTATGGTTATTGTTGAGACTGTTTTGAAAATTATTTTTGAATGATGTTTTTGAGATGTTGTTTTGATTTTTTTGTTGAATGATGGGTTGGAAGGTTTGTTTTGAGATGTTGTTTTGAAATCTTGGTTGAATGATGTTTTTGAATGATGGTTTTTATGAGATTGTTATGAAATGATGGTGAAAGTGTAGGGGGGGGTGCAGGGTTATGTGATGATAGGAAGATGGGCAAGGCCTACCCTAACTATTATATTATATTATATTATATTATATTATATTATATATTATATATATGTTATATTATGTGTATATATATATGTATATTATATCTCTATATAATCATCAACCAACAGGGGTTTAGCAGCCACTGTTCATTTGGGTATGGGCTCAAAATCTGGTAGTCCAGTGGTCTGCGCTGACTGAGGCATCTCACTGGAAGTTGACGAAAGCAGGAGCGAAGGGTGCCAGGAAGAACCAAGCGACCTCAAAGCGTCATGAAACATGGGATATGAATGGGATATGTATGTGTATATATATATATGTTTGTGTGTGTGTGTGTACGTATATATCAAAAAATAATATATATCATATGTATATATATATATATGAATGGGATGATATAATACAAAACTATACAAAACTATCAATCTTGGAAAATTGGTGATTTAGGAAGATTTACAGTAACCACTCACTCTCTAAATTTCACCAAGCATCATTTGGATTCATCTTCGTGCATGTTTGTCAACTGAAACTTGGGAGCTTCATCAGCTTTATCAACACAAACTCACGGGGGGTCAACAAGGAGATTGTGAGCATCGCAAATATTGGGATTCACAGAAAGACCCAGGATCTGTGTTGATCTGTGCATCAAGTGCAGCCTTTCCAATGTTCCACTGCCAAGTTGCCACCAAGCTGATCAAGCCGCGTACAGGACGGGTCATGGCTGCAGTCGCTCGCAGTGGCACAGCTATCACGTAACGGGGGATCCCGTGGCGTCCAGGGGGTGTAACGAAGCTTTTCAATGGCTGGCGCAATGCGCATGAGGATCAGAAACATGCTGTGAGTATTCTGTAAGATACTCTAATATCGTAATATATAGATATACATATTATATACATATTTATGATATATGACATGTGTATATATCATATGTAATCAAAATCAATAGGTGAAAACCCCATGTCTACCAATCCAGTATATCACATCTGCAATTCGGAAGGCGCCATCTTTCAGCATCTTCCGGCGCCTCCAAGAAATCCTTGGGCCGATTTTGTGTTTCCATAAAGGTCGGCTGCCATCCTGGCGGCAGGGGATGGGTTATGCATAACTTGACCAGCTACGGTACATGGTTCAATGTGCCACATAACCCATGGGGAATTTATGTACCAAGTTATGGCCGCGCGGAGAGGCTGCAAAAAAAAAAACAACCTATGGCATTTTAGGGGGACCAAGGGTATCCGGTCTCCCATTTCCAGGTTCCAGCCTTCAGCCAACAGGGCGTATCACGACAGTCCTATCCCCAAC